AACAGGAAGCAAAAAACTCCAAAAGCCAAAATCAAAAAGAAAAACAAACAAACAAACAAACATGGAGAGAGCCCAAAGGTACACCAGTCGTGAACCAGTTGCATAAATTACTTTTTATCTACACYATGGAATATGTTGCAGATTGACAAAAGATTGAGGATGCCTTTTGGGGCTGGTATAGAAAGCCCTCCTGGGTACATTATTCATGAGGAGGACTAAAGTTCAGAATCATGGGTATCATATGCTGCTGTTAGTGAAAGTTAAAAAAAAGCATATACTATTCTTTTTTCATTAAAATATTCTGTGACTATTTTTTCAATTTTATTCAGAAACAGGTTCTTGCTGAGTTGCTTAGAGTCTCACTAAATTGCTGAGGCTGGCTTTGAACTCTTGATCCTCCTGCCTCAGCCTCCTGAGCCCCTGGGATTATAGGTGTGCACCACCGCGCCTGGCTAAATGATATTTTTTAKGTGCTAAGGATTGAACCCAGGATGTTGGATGTGGGGAGCAGGCAGTCTACCACTGAGCTGCATTCTCAGTCTTCAAGTGATGTTTTTAAAAAGGGTCCTGTGGGCTGCTGTGTGGGGAATGGATCAAAGGAGGGCAGACGCAGAAAGCCGGAGGTGAGATGAGGAGATAAAATTGTCCCTCAGATGCAGGGGGGTTGGTTCCAAGACCCCACAGATATTTAAATCTGCAGATGCTCAAGCCCCTTAAATAAAGGGACATGGAACTTGTGCACATCTTCCTGGATTCTTTAGATCATCTAGATGACTTATGATACCCAACGGAGTGTAAGAGCCAAACAAAGAGTCGTTATTCCGMATTGCTTTTTAGTTGTTGTTTTTATTCTTTTCTTTCCCATCTTCTGTTCCCCAGATGCAGATCCCTTGGACTTGGAGACCCAGCTGTGCTCCAGGTGAGAATGGAGGGTGGCTTCCCCGGTGGGGGGGGGCACGGAGACGATGCTGCGAAGTGAAGGAGGCTGGGGGGGAGCCCAGGGGTGCTGGGGTACAGCTCAGCCTGGGTTCAGACCCCAGCAGAGAGCGAGGGAGAGGGGGAGGGAGAGAGGACCTGAGCTGCGAGGTGTGTGAGAGAGGAACTTGAGATGATTTTTTTTTTTGGCCCGAGCAACCAGAAGGATGAGCCAACTTATCTCTGCTGAGATTGGGGAGGCCGGGGGAGGGGTGTGTGCATGTGGCAGTCCAGAACCCGGAACTGGCCTGCCTTGAGCATCTTCTGAGCGGTTGCCAATCTCCCCTGGTCAGCAGCAGCATCAGGCTAGAATTCAGGAACAGCTTTTTGTCTCCTCGCTGTGTTTGTTTACGTAGTTACCACCCGGAGCTGCAAGGAGTCTTCCTTTGCAACAGAAGTTGACTCAGGGTGATTTAAGCAACAAAGGAATTTATGGCGTGGGTTCTGGGGGCTCATGGCACCACCAGCCTTGGGAAATAGATGAGAAGTGGACAGGGAAGCAGGGCAGCTGTGAGGACTCAGCCTACATGACCCCACCCCCAGCAGGGCTCCCCTGCCCCTCCCCACAACTACGTATTGGCTAATCCCCTGCTTAAGATGCTGTGATGGTTTCCTTTCATGACAAAGAGACATTCCCCCCGCCCCTCTTAAGCCAGGCACAGCACGGTGRTGCATGCCTATAATTCCATCTAAGTGAGAGGCTGAGACAGGAGGATTCCAAGTTCAAGTCCAGCCTGGGCAACTTAGTGTAATSCTGCCCTCAAAATAAAATAAGAAAGAGCTGCGGACATAGCTCAGTGGTAGAGTGCTTGCTCAGCTGGCAGGAGGCCCTGAAATAAAATAAGATAAAATAGTAAAAAGAAAGTGATGTGTTTCAGGGGATTTTTGAAAAAGCAAAGAAATGTTGGTCACAAAATTCAGGATGGTTGGGCTGGGATTGTGGCTCAGCAGTAGAGCGCTCGCTTAGCACAGACGGGACCCAGGTTCGATTCTCAGCATCACATAAAAAAAAATAAATAAAGGCATTTCTCTCTCTCTCTCTCTCTCTCTCTCTCTCTCTCAAATAAACAAATAAATAGATAAATAAATAAATAAATCCAGGATGGTGAAGACGTTCAGAATGAGACCAGCAGTGAATCAGGAGCATGCTTGGTGGAAGTGTCCTGGGTTAATGTGGACACAGGTGGTCGACGGGGGTGAACTGTTCTCTGCTTTACAATGTACACATATCAATCAGGTCCTTCCAGTGGGTACTTTGGGGAGTGGGGGAGGCAGGGGACAGGTGAGCCCAGGGGGATGGAAAAGGCTGTCATTGGCAACTGTGGGGTCTCACCACCACCACTTCCCCACCCCCACCCCCCGCAGAGCTGGGGGTTGAACCCCGGGCTTCTCATATGCAAGGTGAGTGCTCCACCACTGAGCTACCTTCCCAGCCCCTTTTTAACATTTATTTTGAGACAGGGTCTCATTCAGTTGCTCAAATTGGCCTAAGACTTGAGATCCTCCTGCCTCAGCCTCCCATGGAGCTGGGATTCCAGGTGCGCCCTGCACCGGGCCCACCGCCATCTTTAAGAGGCAAAGAGAGGAGGTGGTTCTTGGAAACGGGTGTTGGCGCCTCATTTTATTTTTTATTTTAATTGAGTTAGGGCCTTAGCTAGAGAGATGTTGCTCATACACCATGACCAGGAATAAGGGAACTTTGAAGATAAGTACCCTGGTCTTTGTCCTCTACCATGGTCTGACCCCAGTGTGGCGGTACTGACAGATGATGGAATCATTGAGGGGGGTTGGGGGGAGTGGGAGGTCGTTAGGTCATGGCAGGTACTCCCCTTAGAAGGGATTAATGCTCATCTCTTAGAGTAAATGACTGTGAGCATGAATTGTTTTAAAAGAAGCTGGGCATGGTGTCTCGTGCCTGTGATTCCAGCTACTCAGAGGGTAGAAGCTGCCTCAGCAACTTAATGAGACCGTGTCTCAAAAAGCAAAAAGGACTGGGAATGGAGCTCAGTGGTAGAGTGGCTGTGAATTTAATCCCCAGTACTGTTAAAAAAAAAAAAAAAAAAAAAAAAAAAAAGCTCCTACTGGCTCTGGCTTCCAACCATGTGACCTCTTTGGCTCACATGTGATTCCCTTTTCCTTGAGGCCCTCACCAGAACCAAACAGAAGTTGATGCTGGGACCTCCAGAACTGTGAGCTAATCTTTTCTTTACAAATGACCCGGTTTCAGGTGTTTTGTTATAGCAATGGAAAATGGACTAAGACATTCTGCCACCCTCTGATGGCCAGCAAGTGCCTCCCATTGGCAGAACCCAACAGAATTGGAAGCCAAAGCACAGGGAAACTTGTGGATACAATTCAAGGGGGGAACTCCTGGGATAATCAGAAGACCTCCCTCCATCACAGGGATACCTATAATTTTTTTTTAAAGTTGATTGAATTTCTATTAAACTACAATTCACTGTTCATTTTCACCACACAATCTGCCTTTTTAAAGCACCCAATTCAGCGTGTCTTCGTGTGTCCACAAGGTTGTACTACCGTCTCCACCATCTCATTTCCTGTAGAATTAGACCTCTATATCCATATCAATCAAATGCAGATTGGAGATTGTTGGACTTTTTTCCTGTCATTATCCCCTAAACAATGCATTATAACAACCATTCCCATAGTTTTTATGGTGTATTGTATTGTAAGTCATTGAGGAGTGACAGTATGCGGGACTAAGTTCAGAGGATTTCTGCGAACACCACACCACTTTACATGAGGGACTTGAGCCTCTTGGATTTTGGTGTCTGCTGGTGTTCTGGAACCACTCCCCCCGGGAGGCTGAGGGCTGCTTGAATTCCAACACTGCTTCAGAAGTCCCGTGTGGAGGAGGGGAAAGGAGTTGACTTCACCAACCCAACAACAAAACTGAGCAGAAGTGACTCCTGATGTTTGCAGAGACACAGAGACCTCTCCCTAAGGCCTGGGACTCAGTTTCCTTTTTCCTAGAAGAGGCCCCTGATGGCCAGCAACAGTGAACCTGACACAGACTTGGGAATCAGACAGCTCATTCTGGTCCACCCTTCCGCTGCCCACAAGCGGGGTTTCTGGCCCGGGAACTGGGCAAGGTTGAGTGACTCCATCTCATGGCCACAGGGTGGACAAAATGAGTAATGAAACGCTTCCCTGGGAGGCCGACACTCAGACACCAAGCCCAGCAGACACTTCAAGAGACAGGAACCAAGGAAGGGGACTTTTGCTGTCACTTCAGTATTGCTATTGCCACCTCTGGGGTATAGAAAATGTCCAGGGGGCACCTATTTATGGAGCAACCACCGAGCCAGAAACCCAAAGTCCATTTGCCTCCAAAGTCTCTTGGAGAGAGAAACTTGGGAACACCATCTTGGGGGCTCCCAGGGGGACCCTATTGGCTTTTTAATTTATTAAAATTTAAAACATTTAGTTTTATTAAATATTAATGACAGCTTGTGGTTTTATACATTTAATGGAAAAAATATAAGTACATGGCTGTGTGCACACAAACACATTTTGCTAATGGGGAATGTGGGCAGGAAAGTGGAGACTCCTTGGTTCACTCAGCTCTGGGTGTGTGTGTGTGTGTGTGTGTGTGTGTGTGTGAGAGAGTGTGGAGGGGGAGGTTCTGGTCATCCCTGTATTCCCAGGTCCAGGATCATGAAGTCATAAGACTGAATGAAGCACAGTCTATCTTGTCCTTCAAGGTCATGACAATACCCCCTCCTCCAGGAAGGCGACTCCCCCTCCCCGTGTGGGCAGACCCCGGGGGTCCCAGGATCTCTCCTCTGCCCCAGCCCAGACTAGGGAGGGCTCTGGGTCTGRAGACCGGAGGCCTTTTCTGGAATTTCAGCAATGCCCAGACCGAGAGCGATGGAAGCAGTTTGCAGAACGAATTTATGGAGGAGATGAACGAATGAACCGAGTGTGCGCGGCCCTGGGTCTGGGGTGTGGCGGTGCCGCCGTGTCCAGGGCGGGAGCGGGGAGCGCAGGCAAGTCTCTGCTCATCAGGGCTCCACCCGGGCCGGGAGGCAGCCGCAGGCCAGGCAGCGGAGGCTAAGGTGGAGCAGGCGCGGCCAGCGGAAGAGGAGGCTGTGGGCGGTTCTCACGTACAGGCTGCCCGAGGGGTCCACGGCCTTGAGCGCCGCCAGCGTCAGGTAGCGGAGGTTGGTTTGCTTGCGCAGCGGGGGCCGMGTGGAGCCGATGACCTTGGCAATGGCCTGCGAGATGGATCCCTGAGATCCGGGCCCAGGGGGCTCCCCACGCCCCTGCGTCCCTGACCGGCTGTCCTGGCCACTCACCTGGGCCACGTCCTTTGGGTTCTGTCCCACTGAGCGGAAGAGCTCCCTGGAGGCGGGGAGGTAGAAGTCCCTGAAGTAGCTCAGGGTTTCGGGGTCGGTGCCTGGAAACTCGGCCGTGGCGACCTGAGCCATGAGCTTCCCCTCGAAGTCAGTGACCACAGGGCCCGGCTCCACCAGGGAGATGCTGGGGACAGGAGCAGGGCTAGTGGGCCGGGTTCACCCACCCACTCATCAGTCCTGCTCCCCCAGCCCCCTCCCCTGCCTCCTTCGCTCCCCTCCCTGCCTGGCGTACCCCCCCCACACACACACACTGCCCTTCCCTCTCCTCTGCCCACCCCCCCTCCCCGGCGGCTCACAAGATGTTGAACTGGAGCAGCTGGATGGCCAGACTCTCGAAGAACCCCTCCACGGCGAACTTGGAGGCTGAATAGACCTCGTTGAATATGACACCTGAGGGGATTGGAGGGGGCTCTCTGAGGATCTGGGCGRTGGACTTTGTGGGTCCCTGAGTAATGGGGTGGTTGGGAGACAGAACAAAGAGGCCCTGGGGATCAGAACCGGGGACAACTGGGGGCTGACCTTTTGGGTATATGGCATTGTGTGATGGGGACATGTGGGGCCAGATCAAGGTGTTCCTGGGGTGCCAGGTGCCATCTCTTCCTGGTTCCTCCTTGTCCCTATTTCCTTCTTGGAGCATGTAGGCATGGGGTCCCYAGCACCCATGGGAGCAGGCGCCATTCATTAGGGACCTGGACAGTGCTTCTCTTTGGCCGGGTGTCAAGTAGACTGGACTCCTTAGAGGAAGCTGGGGAGGGGACAGGCCCAGCAGTATGAATGGCAGGTAGGTGACCTCCAGAGTAGGCCCATCGCAGACACCACCAATCAATGGATGCTCTATTTTCTGCTGAGCCTGGGGATATCTTTAGGACCTGGTGGGCTGTGTTTGGCACTGGGGAGTCTCAGGAGAAGGAGTTCTGATGATCTTTTGGAGTTTTGGGAATGGTGGGGAGAGTGCTTTGGAGATGTCCAGAAGTGGAGTGGATTCTGGAATGCGGATGGCTTTGGAGGCCTGTACACCACCGCAGTCATGTTAATCTATCCCAGAACCGTTTCTTTCTGAGCTGCAGAATCCTTCCCAACACAGCTCTCCAGGCTCATTTGGAATGAGCTAAACCTATTTGCCATCCTTTCAGCCTGGGAAGGGTCAGACACTGGAGGACTACTTAAGGGTTGGGTTCCAGGGCTCACCCTGCAGACCCATGACGCTGCTGACCACCACGATATGACCCTGTCGCCGCTTCTTCATTCCCGGAAGAACAGCTTTGACCAGACGGATGGCTCCCAAAAAATTGGTGTCAAAGATGTTCTTCATGGTGTCTATGCTGAGCCCCTCCAAGGGCCCCACCAGGCCCACGCCAGCATTGTTCACTAGAGAGAGAAGTGTTGAGTGTTACATTAGAGTTCCTCCCACTCTTCTAGTGTCACTGAGGTCACTCTTCAGATCACCCTTTTACCCCCGACTCCAACTCCAAGAAGATGTTTAAGCACAGTCCAGCATTTGTTATGGGGACCTTAGCCTAGGGTGGGAGCAAGGGCCACAGGGAACAGCATGCCTGTAATGCATGAGAAATTCAGCTCTGACCCCAAATTGTTTCAAAACAGCTACACCCACCCTCCTGAGAAGACGGCTCAGGGATTATGAGTTGTTTCTTCATCATTTTTCCTTCCCCAAGTGACTCATCTAAGTAATTTTTCCAACCACATATGGGTTTCTCCATATGTGATAATGTCTATCCCATTAAATCCACTCCACCCCCAGGTCCTAGATTATTTCTAGCATCCCTAACGGACTGATTGAGAGTCCCAGTTCTTGGCCAACTGGTCTACCCCTTTTGTAGAAGATTGGAGGTTGTGGGTAAAGCCAGAGGGCTGGACTCAGACCTTGCCGTGTGGAGGGTTTATAATTAGATCATGGTGGGGTGAATGGCCCTGGGGGCTGCAAAGTCTCACCCAGCACGTCCACTTCCCCTCCTTGGATGCCACTGAGACACTGGGCCACTGACTCATCATTGCACACATCCAGCTGGGCCAATGTGAGGGTCTTTCCCAGAGCGTCCCCAGCAGCTGCCTCCAGCATCTCCTTCTTTCTCAAGTCCCTCATGGTGGCCACCACTGGGGGCACAGAACAGAGTTGGTACAGGCAACTGGCTCCTTTCCTTGGGTGTTTCTGTTGTCTTGCACAAGCAGTTCCAGAGGATGAAGATCTACAGGTTTGCACACCTATGTTCATTGCAAATGCACACTTGTGTGCTCGTGTTAACATGCAGCCACATCCATCTATCCTATAAAAGTTTATTGAGCATATACCACTAACTATGCTTATTCTAGGTATTATTGTGTGAAATAAGAAAAAGTCCTGCCAGGCACAGGAGTGCATGCCTGTAATCCCAGCTACTTGGAAGGCTGAGTCACAGGGATGGCAAGTTCAAGGCCAGCCTGGGCAACTTAGTGAGATCCTTTTTAAAAATAAAAAAATTAAAAGGACTGGGGTGTAGTTTAGTGATAGAGCACCCCAGGGTTCAATCCCCAGCAGCCCCTTCCCGCCAAAAGATAAAGTACCTTCCTTTGTGAAATTTATAATCTAATGAGTAAGACAATAAAAACAAAAATACAAACAAGATTGCCATGAGAAAAATTTCACACACACCTACAGCCAACATACGTGCTTTGCACACTCAAGTAGGAAGAACCACATTTGCAGCATTGACATAGGAAATTCCAGTTTACTGAGCATTTACTGTGTGCTAGGCATTTTGCTGAGCATTATCTCTAACTTGCAAGGACCCTACTAATTATTGCACTAACTTGTTTCCCCCCAAATATCTGCACAAAATCTTCCTTTGCACAAACTCTTCTCAAATCTTGCCACTCCTCCATCAAGACATGAAATCATGTGTCCCGGTGGTAGAGTGTGTTTAGCACAGGCAAGTCCCTGGGGTTGAGCCCCAGCATTACACAAACATGCATGCAGATATGCAGGCATGTAGATCTTGAATCCAATTCCCTCCCTCTCCCCTTGAACCACCCACCCTCAGTACTGGGGATGGAACCCAGGGCCATATGCATGCTACCACTGAGCTCCCCACCTTCCTGTTGAATTGTATGACCAGGTGGAAACCAATGGAAGTGACACAGTGTGGTTTCTGAAGTCCAAAAAGATCTTGCAGTTTCTGCATCACTTGCTGTAACACTCTCCTTGCAGCCCTTGCCCATCATGGAGCAGCCCAGTTATCCTGAGGCCACCATGCCATGAGGAAGCCCAAGCTAGCTGAGGAAGAGAGACTACAAGGAGAATTTCTAAGGTTACAGGAAGGGAGTGAGCTGCCTTTCCACCCCCATGTACTCCAGTCCCCACTCTGCCAGCTGTGGCCTTTGACTCTGAGCCTGAACCACCCTCTGAGTCCTTCCTGAATTCATGACCTATGTGAGCTGTAGGTGGAAAAACAAGTGATTGTAGTTGTTTTACAGCATACATTTTGGGGTGATTCATTATGGAGCAATAGTAACTAGAATAGGTAGGTAACTGRGATTTGAACTTGAGTTTGTAGCAAGCCCACGCATACCAGGGATTGAACTCAGGGGCACTCAACCACTGAGCCATAAGCCCTAGTTTGTATTTTATTTAGAAACAAGGTCTTACTGAGTTGCTTAGTGCCTCACTTTTGCTRAGACTGGCTTTGAACTCATGATCCTCTTGCCTCAGCCTCCAGAGCTGCTGGGATACAGGCGTGAGCCACCATGCCTGGTGCCCTTGCATGGCCTCACCATATATACTACATATACATGTTTGCATGCCCCTCTGTGCATGTACCCATGGTCACACATATGTGCGCCTGGGGGACATTTATTTGTGTATAGTATTAGTCTGTGGGATTCACAGGTGTTATATAGATGAATGAGCTCACTGGCATCCTAAATGCAGTATAGTGACAAGTGTGGTCCCAGCTTCTGGCTGCCTGGGTTCATATCTCTGCTCTGCCACTTCCTAGCTGGGTGACCTTGGGCAAGGGCCTTTGGCAGTCTATGTGTTTCCTCTTTTCTAAAATAAGGCAAAGGATAGTAAGTGGCCTCTTCACAGGGGGCGATGTGAAGAGTAAGTGACATATCAGATGCACTTAAATGACACTTGGCACATAATGAGAGTTCAAGAGCATTACCCTTTAGCAGTTTTATAGCTCATTGGCCYACCTACAGTTACACAAGTTCCTTTCTGCACGATGACCTTTGCCTGTCACACTCAAAGCTGTGCCTCTAAGACAGAGGGCAGAGGGCTGGGAGAGGCAGCCCTGCCAGCTGGGGCAGTGCCCACCCCCCAGCAGCCTGAGCTTAAGTAACTGCCCTTTGCCTAATTACACTCAGCCTATTCCAGGGCAGAGGTTCCTAGGGTTGGGGCGCAGTCTGTAGCCATTTACTCGAGACCCGCAGGAAGGCAAGAACCTGGAACTAGAGGGCTCCCGTAAGTCCCCAAGGTCAAGAGCATGTAAGAGGCTTATCCTGGAGTAGTAGWAATCTGGGGGCGGGGGGCAGAGTCAACAAGGTAATTATCCATGCCCAGGAATGCCCAAAGGAGCCCTCTCGGATAAGTCTTCCTGAGCAGCCCTTCATAACACATAAACCCTTGACACCCATGACACTGGTCACTCGACCCCGGTCATATTCTTCCCTTGCTTTGTTTTGCTCTTCAGCACTTGTGATGGCCAGACATACTGCAATTTCTTTTTATGTGTTTGTCTGTCTTCCCTGCGCCTCCCCCAGGACACCACTMCCCAGAGCTGAGATTTTTGTCTCTTGTCCATAGCTGTTTCTAACACCCAGAGCAGAGCTTGGYACACAGTAGATACGCAAGAAATATTTGCTGGATGAGAGGATGGTCCTGCAGGGAGAGGGGCCTTTCCATGTACAGCTGGAGGGGATGAGATTGCTTGCGGAGACAGCATGGGGGCTGAGGCTCCTAGGAAGCCAAGCCCACCCCGGCTGTCCCCAGGTCCACCCGGGCCCCTTACCCTGGTAACGCTGTTTGGGGTCATGAGCCAGGTGCACAGCAAGCTCCAAGCCAATTCCTGATGAACAGCCTGAAATCAGCACGGTCCTGGGTGAGGAGGCCATGTTGATCCCTCCCTGGACAGGACTCCAGACTGAGATGACACCCCTCCACCCTTGTCTGTTCTCTCGTCTAAGCTCCTTTTACCTGATCCCTTGCAGGGCAAAGGGGCCCCAGGAGACTTCCACTGTGGCTTGCACAACCCTGAACAGGTGGCTGGAGAAAATCCTTCGACTCTTCACAGTCCGTTTCCTTTATTTGCCAAAACCTTCTTTTTGGGGGGCTGGGGGTATGGCTCAGGGGTAAAGCATTAGCTTAGCACTTGTGAGGCCCTGGGGGGGGGTTCCACCTCCAGCACCACAACAAACAAAATGATTCTCCATACCTGCTACACTCATAACTGTTCTTTTAAATTTTTATTTTTATTATTTTTGTAAACTATTCAGGGCCAGGGGGAATTGTAGTGGGTGTGAGGGAACAAGCGGGGGTATCCCTTCTCTTATACTATATCTACTCTGGAAGAAGAATCTCTGGTGGAGGGAGAAAGTGAAAGGAAATAGGAGTGTGATTCTGGAAGGGTCCCTTCAGAGAAGAATGCAAGAAGTTAGACTACAAGAAGAACTTCCTAACAAGGCAGGGCAGGACAGGAACTTTGTAAGGGCCTTTTAGTTGGAGAATTCTCAGCTTCCGATGTCCCTGGGAAGGGAGGAGGGTTTGCTTGGGGAGATTTCCTCTCCTTGCCCCATCACAGGGGGGGGGGGGGGGGCATCTCTTTCTCAAGCCAGATGGGGCCCCACCCCCTCCTCTCCAGGGACACAGAGACTCTTTGTCTGAGGAGGCCGAGGCTGAGAGAGAGGCGGTTCCTGCGTCTCCCATGAGGGGGGCATTTCAGGGCCCAGGATACGCCCCTTTGGTTCCTTTCTGGGGAAAGTTCCCTCACACCTCTCACCCTGCAGGTCTGCACTTGTCTAATTGCACAGAATCCCTCCCTGACCCCAGGGGCCTCTTCAGCTGGTGGGGGGGGGGGGGCTGCCAGCTGGGTGAGGGAGGCTCTCCTTSGCCCCAGGAATGGAAGGAATCCATCCCTCTCCCCTGGTGGTAATGTTCTGCTTTGGGTAGGTCACACTTCCCCATTTGGTGAGGATTTAGGACAGGGCGGGCACCCATTTGGGCACCTGAAGGAGCGGGAGGTGAGGACTAGGCATGGAGGTGGACTCTTTATTCAAGGATTAAAAATTAGGGGGAAAGTGAGCATTTTGTTTTGGAATCCGTGCTGGGAGTTTGGGGTGCTATCAAGACACCCAATTCTGGGATTCGGRTGGAGAGATGAAGGTTTAGGGTAAGTGGAGACCTGATTTGGGGTGAGGTTTGAGAGAGGACAAGGACTTCTTACTGAAGGTCCTGAAGGGAAGGCCTTGGGGTGCAGCTGGGACCTACTTTGTGGGGCTAAAGGACTGGGGTACCACAGGTGGGTGAGCATGGGGGTGAGCCTGCCTGCCCCCGGGTTGGGAGCCTGGGTGAGCCCGGAAGGATTTGGTAGGAGCTGCAAGTCCTGCTAATGCCAGGGCCCGGATGGAGGTGCAGGTTTTGAGGGGGCTGCTAAGAAGAAAGGGTTTAGATTGGTTAATGTGAACCCCGGATTCTAGCACTGGGTGGGAGTGACCTCCTCTTCCGCTGTGGGGTAGGTCGGAACGGCCCAGCTCCTGGTCCAGGGCTCCACCCCCCGCTGGCCAATCCGCGCTCAGTGAAAACTTTCCCAACTCCCCCTCCAGCTGTCAGTTCTCCCCCTTCCTGCGAGCGCTGCCTGGCCCGGCGCTGGAGCGCAGGGCGCGGCCAGGGCGGGGTCTCGGGCCGTCTCCTGCAGATCCCGACTGCAGCCGACCTCCGCGGGTGACGCGCTGAGCCTGAGGAGTCGCCGCACCCGCAGACGCCCCGTGCCGTTCCCCGCCTGGCGCACGGGCCGCGCTGGGATGGAGAGCCTCTGGGGCCTGGGCCAGCCGCGGGCCGGCCTCTGCCTGCTTCTGGCCGCGCTGCTGCTTCTGCCCAGGACGCAGGCCGGTGAGCCGGAAGGGAGACCATAGTACTTGGGTGCAGGACCCAGAGAGACCCCAAAGACCGGGCAGAGTAGGGCATGGGGGCGAGCGCAGGGGACATGAGCATTGCGTGTGAGCACGGTGAGGTGTGGGACACAAGTGTCTGACTCTGGGTGATTCGTGGGTGTGACAGCTGGAGGCGGGGGTTGTCCTGGGAGGGGTATGACTGTTTCCTGGCGGGTGGATGAAAATGAATGCAGTTTCTAGGTGTGTGTGTGTGTGTGTGTGTGTGTGTGTGAGAGAGAGAGAGAGAGAGAGAGAGAGAGAGAGAGAGAGAGAGAGAGAGAGAGCGTGCGCAGCGGTTTGGAGTGAGTGTGTGTGTGTGTGTGTGTGTGTGTGTGTGTGTGCGTGCGCGCCTAGATGTGGAGGTTGACCTTGACTGGTTGATTGGATGGTAGGGTGGTCCCCAGGAGGGTGTGTAATGGCAGATACGAGTGTGCAGTGTTGTGTCTGGGGCTGATTTGGGAAGTGATTGTGTGTTTGCTCCAGGTATGGTTGTGTGTCTCTGGGTGACCCCGGGAGGGCTGTAGTTGTGCTTTGGGGAACTAAGTCGTTGCCCATGAGAACATGAGTGGTCGGTTCTGAGATTGATAGTGAGTAGGGGTGAGCGTGGGAGCAGGCTATTCGGGGCGCCACAGTTCCCTTTACGCGTCCCCAAGTGGCTTCATCTCATTCTCCCTCTTCTTCCTTTGCCCCAATGGGCGCATGCTTCCCTTTCTCCCCAACCCCTCGCCCCTCCCCGACCCCGCGCTCCCTAGAGCCAACATCAGCACCATGGACAGGGCCTCGGGAGGGCTGCGGCGAGGGGCGAGGCGGGTGGGGCGCRGGGCGGGGCGGGGCGGAGTGCGGGTGGGGGCCGGCGGGGAAGTTGTTCCCCACCCCAGCTGCGCGAGCCTGGGGTGTTTTTCCCTAGGAATTTCTCAGGGGCCCCCCAGGGGTCCCGGGGGCCGGCAGGACTGGTGAGTCAGCGCTGACGCACGCCCAGCTGCGCGCATCTGGCCAAGAGCCCTACCGCATTTCGCAGGGTTAGGGGTGAGGGGCGCCCCAGGGGTCAAGGGGGACGTAGTGGCTCCTGAAGTGATGGATTTTCAGGGATTTCCTGATCTGGGGGACTGGCGGCTAGGCCCTCCCGGAAATCCCTCCCTAAGGTGAATTCAGTCCTCGACATACACACACCACACTTTCTCACTTTCTTTTAAGTCTAGGGAGGTGACTGACCATGTGGGTAATCCCCGATTGGCCTTTGCCCAATTCCCACGTCCACACATCCACATGGTCATGCAGTCTCATGCATCCACTCAGAATATAAGCCTCCTGAGACACTAGGAATGGAAACACCGTGGCCCAGCCCAGGCAGCCCATCAACCACCCCACACATGGTCACTGCTTTGGCCCATCTCCTACACATTTGAATTCTCACACTTACTTCCCCTGGCATCCATACAAACATGGCCAACATTTACAACCAAACACCCACTCGCTGACTTGGTCAGATTCTCCCATGAACCATGTGGTAGTAGTCTCCTGGCTGTAGAACCACAACCCCATCACACATCTGAGCCATCATGGTCACAGACCAACTTGCACAACCTGCAGGACGGCAGCTCACACGTGGATATCCACCCTTCAGCCATTCTCTTATCCATTCAGCCACCCACACTTGCACAATCTCCTGTGTGTACTTTTTTTCTCGCACACACTGACACCTCTTCTCTTCTACCTGAGTAGATCCCAACCATGTCCCAGTCTAGACCCTCCTGCCTGCCTCCCTCTGAAGCCTAGACCCCACCCAGTCTTTCCCTGGGGACTTGACCAGCGCAGCGGGGAGGGTTATGTGTGTGCGGGTGGGGGAGAAGCGTGGGCTGGTCCTTGACAGACCCCCACCTCCTGGCCCTGCAGGCAGGACTCAATGCCTCTTGTGTGTCTCCTTGTCATGAGGCCAACCATGGAAAGAAAGGGCAGTCAGTTTCCGAAAGGTCATTACAGAAGGGACACAAGATTGAAGCAGGAATCTTTTGGGTTAGATGCCAGGAAGGACTTTTGAAATGTGAATGAGCAGTTGCTGAGGGAGACCCCCTCATACTGCATGGAGGCTGGGGTCTGGGGCAGGGGAGAGTCTCTGGGCAGGGTGAGGTGGTGGATGTCAGTCCTCCCCAGGGCCCCAGGCTAGAGAAGGGGCAACCGAGATTGTTCCATGGGGGAGTGACCCTTGTGGTCAGCAGAGCCTGGGAGTCCAGATCTCAGTCCCAGGGGCCTGTAACTCAAATGCCTCTTAATGACAACCCAGCCACAAAACAAGCAATTAGGAGTGGGGGTTGGCAGGCAGGTTGGGGAGACAGGGCAAGGGGGGGGAGAGAGAGAGAGAGAGAGAGAGAGAGAGAGAGAGAGAGAGAGAGAGAGAGATTGATTTACATGCAGAACTATAGAGATAAAAAAGCACAGAGTTAGAGACCTGCAGATAGACAGAGATGGAAAGAACCAAACAACCAAGGTGCCGAGAGAGCAAGGGAGGGGGGTGGTTTGATTCAGAGTGGGATGCAGAGGACTGGGAAGATGGCACAGAAGGTGAGATCGAGAGAAAGAAGGAGAGAGAAGGAGAAGGAGGCTGTGTCAGGAGGGAACAGGGGCTGGGATGAGGCTCTGGAGTTTGGAGAGTGAGTGTTCGCCCCAGGAGGAGCTGGGATGAGGGTCTTCGTCTAAGCCCCTGTCCTCTCCATGTCTGGCCCCTACCCAGCTCCCAACGATGAGTTCAGCAGAGCTGCCCCTGGGGGGTGAGGTCATGGCAGACTCAGCAGAATTTAGCTCCTGCCAAGAGGCTGGGTCAGGGGGTTAGTGGGACAGTCTGCAGAGGGTGGAGGGGATGTGATCAGGCAGGGGCTTTGGGCCCAGGGGAAGCCCCCACCCGCCCCTGCCCAGGCCATGTGGTTTCATTTAACACTGGCCTGGCTGCCTCGGGTGGGGCTGGGAGGATGGCC